GAATGCAAGTGTTGAAAAAATAAATAATAGCTTCCCCTACCTATTTATTTTCACTTGTTATGCCAAAGTCATAATTCCTTTTTATGTATTTTGAGGATAAATACTAATCTTAATATATCATCAACATTAGAAGGCTTATTCTCTGGGACACAGGGTCACTGGAAAGCAAAGACCTAGAGTCACAAAACACAGTGGTAATAAAAACCAAGAACTCAACAAGTCTCTTTTGTTTCAGACAATCAAAATGTTTTTGCATCCCAAACGTGCAAAACAGAGCTTAATCTCCACCTTAAGTCCTGAGAGAATTGCAAGATTCTTACCAAGGCTTTGGAGACTGCGCTTGCTTTCTGTATTTGTGGGTGCATATGCACACCAATTTAACAATGCTGAATCGGGAAATGAAATAATTAATTTTTCTACCTCCTTCCTATCAGAGTGTAGTAGCTCCTGCTCTAGGTATAAGGCTTCCTCTTCTAAAACTACGCTACACAACTTCTCTTATTCACCAGAATTGTGACACTGTCTGCAGTAACAGCAGTTGGCTACTCTCATGTAGAAGTGCAGTTCACATAATTTAGCCCCCAAAGGTGCGCACCTCCAGTATCTTAACAGCCATAGAAGTGAATATGCCCGTAAGAGAAGAAACACAAACATTCATTTTTTCCTGTAGTTTTCAAAATGCTTTGAAGAAACAGGTATGCAGTGGGCTGTCTATACTAAATGGAAATAAACAAAAGGAAGGGCAAGTCTGGACAAGGTGACAAAAAAAATAAAAATAAAATAACCCAGCAGCCTAAAGCCCATGTCCCAGTACTCACACCACTATCTTCTACACTAGACACTGGGTATAATTTTGAGCAAGTGCAGATTCCCCCAGAACTAGCATTAGAAATATTGAGGCAGCAAGTGAAAGAGTGAGCCACTGTCTTCCCACTCTCACATTTAATGACATCCATTGTTTTTTCAAAGGGTGCCTGCTTATAACAGGTCACATCTCAGGTGATCTCCCTTACAGCCATGCACTGAGGATCACTCCAGGTGCCATTCCAATGCGGGGATGCACCTTCTCCGTGTTAAGGCCCAATTTGTACCTATTAGAGCTCAAAACACCCTGCATATGCTAACTGCAGTCAAAAACTTCCAGAGAGATACAAGTGCCAGGAATAAAACAGGATTTTTCTTCAAGTCACTGGAATAGACAAAATCCTGCAGCCCAGCTACAAAGACTGCAGACGCAATTGAATCAAAAAGTTAGGCTTCCCCTTACAAGCAAGATCTCAAGAGTTTCCAATAGTAGAAGCAGTTTCCAGAAGTAGAAGCAGGCACGATGACCTTTTGTTGGTTTCCAGCATCTTTAAATCCTTCAAAAGAACTACTCTCCCAAAATCTATGACAACTGAATAACCCCTTCTTAGAGGTGGCACCAGTAATAACATACAGCCAAGCTGATAACCAATGTCAAACCATGCACCAATTATAACCACCAAATCTATGTACAGGAGACACCAATCTTTCTCATGTCCCATGGATGAGTCACTTGATGGAAGGAAGGGGAAGAAGAGAGGGGAAACGGCATAATCTAAAACTAACCTGGTTTCTAATATAGTGCTGCAGATTGACAAGGGAATATTGTAATCCTGTCAGCAGATGCAATTCTATCACATCCACCTAGGAACTGGCTTATGATGAGGTCACCTCATCTCAATACTAACACAACAATGATCAAGTATTCATCATGGCAACCACCACAGTTTGTCCAAAAGCAAGCACATCTAGATCTAAGTCAACACCCAATCTCTCCACTTATTTCAATATCAGACAGTGGAAAAAATAGGGATACAGCCTACCTGGTGTCTAACAGGAAGAAAAAACCTACTGTGAAAACTGTCCCAGCATAGACTGATACGTGAAGCAGACTTGTTACTGGTACAGGAGTAGTTCTCAGTTTCCTGCACTGACAGGGGAACGAAAGTCACAATGAAATCTCCCTGAGTGTGCAGAGACGAGCCAGAACAGCGATTGCTTGAGAGCTGTGCAATGCCAAGCAAAATCCAGCACTCCAGGTTAAGTAATTAGGAGATTGGCAAGTTAATCATTTTGGGGCATGGCATGTACAAAGTTGAACTAGACTAGAAATAAATTGCATCAAGAATGGTAAAGCAGCCACTCCAAGGAAATGCCATGGAGCAGAATCAGATGCCCGTCAATTACCAAGTGATTAATAGATGTTCATGTATAAAAACCCTGGAAATACAAGGCAGATACACACTAACACTTTTCAGATGCAGGAAGTTTGCCTCAGAACCATAGATGTTTCTTCTACCCCTTTACAAGTGATACAAAAGCTCACCTTGAACAGCACATCAGCATCTGCTGGGAATTCTACAGGCAGAAAATAATGCAGTAGACAAGTGCTGAACATCACTTGTTATATTGACAATGACTTTAAAGAGGGTGCAGTCACAACTGTCTCATTCATGGGCCTGCAATAAGTGGTACGCGTTACCTGTCAGCAAAATACACAGCATGATGAGAGAACATCACGTAGCACAAGGGAAACACTACCAGAAAAACGATGATTTTACATAGGACTCTTCAGGAAACAGAGATGATGACTGAGATAATGAAACAGCCTTCCACAAGTCACTGGCTTGTGCAATTAACTGATTGGTCACTCATAACACCATTTATCTGTCCTGACACAAGAAGCATTACCTCTATGAGCATCTTGTATGTCATAATGTGCCAGGCTGTTTGCCCAGATTGGAGCCAAACAGACAGCAGGATTCTCATGTTGCTATTATTAAGTACTTGTCTACTTATTTCATGTGTATTTATAATATATAATCTATATTTAAATATATAAACATATAAAACAAATATGTATGTGTGAATGTATACAGCCACATATAAACCAGCCCAGCTAAACACAGGCAACTCTTTCATTTCTACAATCATGAGATCAATAAACTGCTCTGCACAACTTGGAGCAGGGTACAGCTTGCCCACCATCAAAATCCAGCATTCCTGTGAATAACACCGGGCCACATATTTTCCATAAGGGAATAAACAGAAAGACGAGGTTAATGCTCAGAATAACACATTGCAAAGAAATACAGCAAATAGGTCTTGATGCACTTATGCATACCTTAGGTCAAATAAAGCAGAAAAAAAAAATATGTACCTGCCTTACCCCTTCGTTCATCAGATCTTCCATAATTAAATCAGAACATACACAACAGGGCTGCAAGGCCCATTCTTTGTGGATATACCACAGTCATTAGCCAACTCAAAGCTATTAAAAGGAGTTTCACTTTAACACAACAGGTCTTAAAATGTCCATCGATGACTACACATTTGGAAAGGTGTCGATCACGGTTTAGTATATTCAATGATGGAAGGAAACGACCACTAAAGCTGCTGAAGATCCACTTGAAGATACAATTATTCCCAACTTCTTTTCCCATAAGTATGCCTGAATCAGAGTTGGCAAGACCACAGTAAGACACCAAAGCCAGGCAGAGTGGCTGACATAAACAAAGGAAACCTGCCAGCATAGGACACCCTTAGGGTGTGGGGTCCAAGGACACTGGCAGGCCGTGCACTTGGTTGGAGGAAAACCATGTAGCGGTGGTGATGGTGGCTGGGCACAAGAGGCAGCAGCCAGAGGCTTTAGTACTTATTGGGAGACAGACATTTCTCCATATTACCTTCTGTGCCAGCCCTGCTCAGTACAACCCCTGCAAAATGAGGGCAGAAAGAAATGGGGAAAATAGCTTCATCCACAGCTAAATCCCTGTTGCACCTGAAAGAAGAGAGCACTTCTTTCCCCAGCCTAGCCAAAGTTACAACTTTCAGAGCGAGCACCAGCAGGGACTGGGATGATTCAAGGGAATATATCCTGTTTAATTATGGATTATCCCTTTTTCCTCCCTCATTCATATTCAGAAAGAAAATTCTCTAAAAAAGTCCAGAAACACTAAAGAAATAAGAGCTCCAATATATGTTGATAAGAAGGTACCTGTAACAACAGGGCAGTTTCTAATGTAAGGGATATACACAAACAGTATCACCAGTAAGGTGGACAGCACAGAAAGCATCACAGCCCTAAACATGCAGAAAGAAGATAAACCACAAATAATCTGAGGTTCATCCCGGTCAAACGCCCTAAAGTTTAATCTTTATCCAGACTTGACCATTTTCTTCAGGATGGTTAAAAAACAAAAGACAAAACAAACACAACAACACACCACCGCACCTCAGGCAGATCGGATTTCTCCAAGACTTCCAGAATCTTCTAATTCCAGAAATACCACAGCCCACGCAGGCTGCTCCAACCCAGGCACAGAGCAAACTAGAAAGTCGTTTCGTTTCAGAAAAATTAAGCAGATTTGGGGAAAGAATAAAAAATAAAATAAAATATATATTTAAAAAGCAACAAATGTGGTAAGAGAGCTGAACTTGAGCCCAGGCTTGCCCTGGGCTCTGTCCAGCCTGGGTGCAGGTCCCCATCAGCCCTCTGAGGGAAAAGCTGGGAGCAGGCACGGAGCCTCAACACAGCTCTGCCCTGCAGAGCTCCCTGTTTGAAAGCAGCTCCTCCACACCTCACAAAAGCAGTTTTATCAAATGTCACCACATTTACCAAACAAGCTGGGACCTCTCTTTCATACTTTTCTAAGCCATCTCCCAACACCAGCTGCGTAGCTGTCGCACTGAGTACAGCCCAGTGCCATTTGCAGGAGTGGCCAAGGCTGAAGGCCTTCCCTCCTTCTCCTTCTCCCACACTAGAATCCAAACACACGCCTGAGGCCAGATGCGCCACTGATGTTATGAAATGCCAGCAGCAGCAGGAGAGAGCTCCATCACCACAGATACCAGCACTCCCCTAGCTTCTCCACCCTTCCTAACTGCTACAAAGAATTGCTCAGAAGTCATAATTTCCATTCTCCAGAAAGCATAAAATTCCTTAGAAGTGAGCTATTAAGAAATCACGTACTTACCCATTTTAAGGAGAGGAAGCTGGAGGGTAGTAAATCCAACGTTTCCAACCAAGTGCCTCCAGAAGCTTCCCCTGGGGTAGGTGGGGCAGCCAAAAGGCCACAGGAGCTGCAGCAAAGGCACAACGTGGTGGATGGGCACCTGCTCTTCAGGGCTCCTGCCTGGAGCCAAAGCCCAGGCAACTGGTTTCCCAGCCCCCCTGCCACAAAGCTGAAAGCCACAGCATGGCAGCACCCAGGCCTTACAGACACCTGGCTCTGTGCAACCCTGAAATCCAGGCAGCACGCCCTGCAGCAGACAGAAAGGCAGGTTTCAGGAAAAGCTTTACCTTTACTTTCCCCACAGCTCACCTGGACTGCTATGTCTCTGCATACTGTTTTGAAGAACAAGCATTTTCACCTGGGCTTGATTGAGCTCAATTTAACAAGATGGGGATCTGCTGGAACACCCCCATCCCTGAGCACTGTCCAGTTTGTAGAGTGATGGGCTGCTTGCCTAAAAAGCTAAATATACTAAGAGGCTGTGTGATACTAAATGCTGTTATGGATTACTTCTTTTATGTTGGATGTGGCAGAAGGGGAAGGGAAACTTGTATACAATCGTATTTACAGTTTCCTCCACTTTTCTCTGTGCAGCCAAGGCAACACGGCCGTCCTGTGGTTTCTAACTTACAAGATGCTGTCCTTTGCTTGCATAATGCTGGCACAATCATGAAATAATATTAAGTTCTGTCTTTTTTTTTTTTTTGTAATTCTAACTGGCTGATTTCTCCCTACTTCTTTTTTCTTTTCTATTACTAGCTCTGGAGTTACGTAAAGTACACTTCCTGTAATTTTAAGGAAACTTTTTTGAGATGCTCAGTACTTGCTTTTCCACCTGGATAATACTATCTGCTCAACCTACATGAATTCCCCACTGTCTGAAAAATTGTTCTTTCCAATCAGTTTTTGGAGTTGTAAGGTGAAAACACTCCGTACTACAAAGTGCAATTTAACAAAAAAGAAAAAAAAAAAAAAAAGAGGGGAGAGGGAACAACCAAAACCCAAACAGGTCCTTTTCCCCCTCATGTCTCCTATGTTATCAGAGGACTAAGAATTTAACTACACCAATGTTTTTCTTGTTTTTTTTTTCAGTATGCCTGTCCCTGCTTAAGTACCAAATTTCAGGCACTGTGTCAATAGCTTGAGGTGAGGGAGCATCTCACCTGGAACCAATGTTCCCTCATTTTAAACCAAATGAATAAACAGAATACCAACCTGCACCTGGCAGGTTACTGCCTTCTCGAGACTTTGAGGTGATCATTTGAGCCTCCTGCTACACATCTTAGTAAAAAACATGGCCAGCTGAGCTTGTAGAGGCCCTATGAGACCTCCTAGGCAACTCGTAATAGAACTTTAAGTATTGGATTAAGATCCCCATGTTAAAGACTGCAGGAGCAGTCTCTGCAAAGGTAAATGGTATTTCTGAATAAGACAATTAAAATCAGTGAAACTGGGAGCAGATATGTCTCTGATAGGGTAGAGTAACAGTCACAAGTGTCCTGCAAGGATCTGAGCAGGATCCTGCCCCTCTTGGCCTTACTGTCTCAAAAGGGTCTCCTCCAGATTAAATCCTAACTCTACTCTGACTTACACTCTTCCAAGTTCAGGTGATAAAAGCAAGCTGGGAGAACAGACCCATCCTGCTGCCTACTACCACCTTTCTGCAAGCCCTCTGACAACAGGCTGTACCTCTTTGAGAGCAAGAGCTCCTGAAGGAAACACCTCAATACTGTTTTCCAGGATGTTGAACATGTGCAGATAATTCAGTGTTCTGAGATGTTTCAATAGCATGCATTTTAAGAAGTAAATCTACAGATCTCATTTAAACTGACTGTCTTTATACCTTTTACTTACACTGTGTCCCTTTTAAAAAGTAAATAAATAAATAAATTGTATTTTATTCGTTCACACCAAAGTAACTGCACCTATTCTGTAGTAAACCACAAGCAACTGCTCCCTGGAGCAGCAGTTTAGTACTGCCTCATTGTATTTTGGTATACCTGCTGCCTCTTCAAAAGCTGGTATTTACCAGTGGTTTGAAAGAATCCCTTTCTAAACAATTCACCATTGGTCTTGCAACAGTAGCTCCAGCTCAACGGCGAGTCTGCATTCCTGTAATTACTTAAAGAATAAGAAAAAATTAAGAATTTACTTAAGAATTCCCACCAAATCCTACTAACTCTGCAAGTCAGTATTTTGGGACGTACTTCTTTTAGTCATACTGCTCCCCAGGTGTCCCTCATCATGTACCCATACCCACTGTTGGATGGGAAAATGGAGAGAAACTCTATAATGAGCTGCTGTCATCTTCCTCAGTAGAGCTGGAGGTTTCAAGTGTATCAGCCCTTCAGCTTTGGATTGTTCATTTGTGAAGACTGAAGGGTTGTATTATGGGAAATATTCACCAGCCCTACGCTTTGTTCACCATCACCAAAAAATATCCGTTGCAAGCATGACAGCCATGAAATTCCTACCTTACATTTTGGCTTGCATTGTATTTGCAGATGGAAATGTTCCCCATAAACTGAGATGCTTATTTCTTGCTTTGTAATGCTCTTGCAGCAGTTTTAGTTGCAAATCATGTGCTATGAATTCTAAAACCCGTGTTGAATTCCAGTTTAAGATGTGGGTTACCATAGGAGACATTTTGAGTAGCCAGGACAGGCCATGACTTTGTGTGCATGTTGACGCTAGCCAAGAGCTGCATGCCACTTCCAGGGGAGGTTGCTTTTCCAAGCGTCCAGACTGACCCTTCTTCAGCACCATTTCCACAGTCTTCCAAGCCACACTTCCCCAAATGCAAAATGGCCAAACTGAGGCAAAATGTTCAGGCTTAGCTCTAGAAAGCTCAACATGGTTTGCTGCACAAGACTTTGCCTCTGCCTGTCTGTTGGGCATTATTTGGTACATCCTGGGATTTCAATTGCATATGCGGGGAAAAAAAAAAAAAAAAGAGAAAGAAAGAAAGAAAGAAAACTCAGAACATAACTTAGGATGTGGTTTCACAGGCAGTTCAAATCAATATAAAATTGCACTGATGCTGAAAGTGGAGGTCCTAGCCTCGCATTGCTCACATATTCCTGCCCTCTCTCACGCTTTTGTTCTGAAACCACGAGGCCATGGGATGAGTCCAGATCAGAGCACTAATCTAGCAGAAAACAAATTCTTGTCTTTTTAGAGTTGGCGTTCGTTTGGATTGGCAAATCGCTGCATTCCTCATCTAATCTGACCTTTTAAAAAAGTATTTGTTAACACTGAATTCATCTAAGATTTACAGCATGCTCTCCATCCCTATTACCACAACAGCACACGCTCTGTGTCAAACCCTCTCTGTTTATGTGCCACATCTCCAAGCTGCGTCCAACATGAAGAAACAACTTGCCCTCATACAGGTACAGGCGCCTGATAGGCACACGCTGACCCAAGGCTCTGCTGCCCCAGAAAGAGGTGTCGTGGCCTTCCCTTTGACGCACTCCTACCATCCCGAGGAAGTGTTTTGGGCATACCTAAAAGGACAGAGACACTGCTCTTTTGTAACACAGCACGAGCTTTTATAAGTAGAAGTTGTATTAAAGGTTTCCATTTTGCCATCAGGTTGGTTTGTCAGCCACGTGGAAATTGCTAGCGTTAGCCATGCTCCAAGGAAACAACATAATGCCAAACTGGGGACAGGAGAAACCATCGCTGGGCTGTGCTCATTAAATTACAAAATCTGTTTTCAGGTTCTGGTGATCCGAGGAGAGTTTCCAGAGCCTGCTGGGGCTATTGCTTCCCTTTTCTGGTGGCTGAACAGGGACAGGCAGAGCCCCACAGACACGTTTGGCACACACATCTCCTTTTGATGGTTTCCATGTGCAGCAAAATCTGTTATTCTGCAAGAGTATCCAAAGGTGGTATAAAGCTTTCTGGTTGAAGCACAGGCTGTGAGTAAATACAGACAGAAATAGCCTGTCAAATCCTTTCAGAGCCAACGTAACGCATGACTGCATGCAGGTTCCTCTCCTCCCTTATTCCTTCTCCCTTCTCATTTACCCATGGGAAGAGCAAACCACCACCCAGTGTCATCAGCTGGATTACAGCCTTTACTGAAGCACACAAGTCTACTTTCAGGGTTGACAATATTTAGGAGATTCAGAGCTCCACACGGACCACCCCAGCCAGCAAGAGCTCTGAGACCACTGCAGGGGCCAGAGCTACTTGCCATCCACAGGCCAGCAAGGATTTATTTTTAAAGCAAATAAAAATGAAGGTGAAAAATGGTCATTGATGGAAGAGTCAGAAACCTCACATATACATGGCTTAAGAAAGCCTTAATAACCACAAAACCCAGTGCTTCTCTGCAATGAGGGAACAGTTTTCATACTGCTGCTCAGCTTCCTTTGCATACAGTATAGTGAACCCTATCCCAACATTTATGTGCATTGAAGGCTAATCAAGATCCTGTAAGTTACCAGGCCTCTTACTGTTATTGAATTTCCCTCCGTTCCTTATCTGGAGTAGCTATTACAATTCCAGGTATTCAAGTGAACGTCATTCAGAAAAGATAAGGTAATAAGGCATTGATATAGGACCCTTATATTTAGATTTCAGCATATCTGGCTCCCTGTGTATGTTATTAACCATGGTAGAAAAAGGGGTTTTAAATTACCCAGTGTTTCCTTCTGAAATGGGGTACAGAATAGAAATTGCTCAGCAGATGTCATCTATCCCTCTTCATCAACAGAGAAGAGAGTTATCAGGATAATTTTGCCTGTTTTTCTACAGGAATGCCAATGTTGGGGGTTCACTCCCACTTGCCTCCATTAACACATCCATTATATTTCTTTGAAAGGAGAGATGAAATTACTTTCATCTGTTTGATGAAGCTTTGGGGAAAAAAATCCTTTTAGACACATGGTCCTCTAGACAATATTATCTTCTTAATATTAATTAAGGCATTAGACATAAAAATCAATGCTCTACAGTACATTCAGCAAAAATTACACAACCTGCTAAATCTATGCTAGCTGATAACGAGTGCTTCCTTTCACATTCAGAACTTCTCAGACGATGCTGAGTTTTGCCACACTACCTGTATTTAATTTCAGGTAAATAAGACAAATAACTGCTATGGGATGCACTCACATTAACTAGGACTACTTTTGAGGTGAGCCTTCCTTTAAACACTTAAATCTTTTCAAATGGCACAAGAAATATTCAAGGTCCGTGTGAGTCATTACATCACCAATACAGAAAAGAAGCCTTAAAATGTGCATACCAAAAATTTCCCAAAGAATTTTGGATGAAATGGTGCTTCTCCAGACTTAGCAAAACCCACATGGGATGGATAAGCCAATGCAGCAGCTTGCTGCAGAGGTGCCATGCCCTCCATCCCAACACTCCTGCCTCGTCTCCTGGACGCAGAGCACCCTCCCTTGCACCAGCTCTGAAACTCATCAGACTCTTTGCTGACCTGATACAACTCCAACCCAGCAGGAAGTACCCTTTTTTTTTTTTTTTTTTCATTTCTGCCTGGTTACTAAAACGCACTGACCTGCAGGCAGGTATGGCACGTGCCAGGGCCAGCTGGGGTGGGTGGACCTGTTGGTGGCAGTGGACTGAGTGCCCAGCCCTGGTCACCTCGTGCAAGCTGTGAGCAGGCTGCTGGGCTCGGCCGGATCAGTGACCTGAACCGGCTCGGTGAGCAGCTCAGAAAGGGACAGGGAGGAGCAGAGTGGAGGAACTGCTCTCTCTTGGTGGAGGCAGCCTGCTACATCATGCTTTTAAGAAGCGTTTGGACTGTGCACTTAGTCACATGGTCTAAAATTTTGGGTAGACCTGTGCGGTGCCAGGAGTTGGACTCGATGATCCTTGTGGGTCCCTTCCAACTTGGGATATTCTATGATTCTATGATTACCTCGAGTCTACCATTTTCATCCCAACTTTCTGCTTGCTTCTTTTGCAGATGAGCACTTACGGGTCCAGCTGCAGCCACACGGGACAGTCCTGCCTCCAGCTGCCAGCTCTGCCCTTGCTGGGCCACCACCACCCGGCTGCGGGGTCAGCAGAAGGGAAGCGGTGCCTTTATTGCAGAGGCCTTGAAGCACTGAGGAATGTGAGCTTAAGCTGAGGTGTCAGAAAGTGGAGGTTCAGCTTCCAGAGCTGATGTGTTGCCGTGCTCTGGGAGCTCAGCAGGCAAAACCTGAAACGTCCCACCTTACCCGTGACAGAGCACCGCT